CTCGCGTTCAGATGCTATTACCACACCATAACGCTGCGATGTAAAGGATCTTCTCAACACCAAACACGATGACAGCTTCGCTTAAATCAGCTGTCAAGAGACGGAGAGGCCGCTTCCTGTTCTTCCCCTGCCAATCATGGAATCTGTAATACTGAAGCAGGCGGCGTGACTGTACGATGTCACCGCAGAGCTGAGAATATGATTTATTTACCTCCTGATGTGTTTGCCCTCTGAGCTCGTCGCTCACACGCGTAACTCCACTGAAGACAGTAGACATTACAGTCTATTAAACCGCCCTGCAGAAGCACATGGTGCAGCCTTTCTTTTGTTTTTTTTTATCTCTTACTTCCTCTCTCACTGACTCAAACACACACCGTTACCCCCCGCCCCCCCACCACCACCCACAAGCAAGGTCACTCTAATGACTGCAATCAATTATCTGGTACGACATTAAACGAGACTCCCACCTCTCTGTTGCCTCTGAGCTTTTAGCTTCAGCTTACAGTGGTCACTTGATTTTAAAGCCCCCCCCACCCCTCCAGGCAGAAACACTATAGCACAGTGACTGATTTCTTTAATGTGTGATGACAAGATGCTGCGTTTATACCACAGCTCTTGAAGCTACTCATCAATTTGGAACAAATACAATGAAATTTAATAAAATAACAAATATGTTCCAGTTATTATTATTTTCCACTATTGATTAAATTAGTTGATAATTCTCTCAGCATGAGCAGCTAGTGAAAACTGTTTCATCATATTTTCTGGGGCTTAGAGACTAAACTTTTATAGCAGAAAACTTGGACTGTAAGTGGGTGTTTAGGAGGCAGGTGAGGTCTAGTGTTGCATTATGGGAATTGGAAGGACGTAGCCTTTTCCTCTGTGTAGCTGCTGTGATGGCCTCGGTGGGATCTGTAGTTTTACATCTCCTCTCTCTGGATCTTCCCTGTGAGCCGTGTCGTGACAGCTGCTTCTTTTTTATTAACACATAAACACAATATAGAAAAACAGTCAGGTAAAGTTTTAGCTAGCACTGATCAATAGAAGATTAAATCAGCTGTTGTTGGCGAACAATAATTCTGTATCTGCTGTTGATAGACGTGTGTCTTTGGTTGGTTTTTGTAGTTTGACAAGTTAAAAAGAATGGTGACTCCTCTTTCGCATCAACATCAGGAAAAATCTCCAGCTAAACTTTAATGATATCAATATTTAACATCAATATTTTAAGCTTATTAATTGTTCTTCATTTTAACCACTTCCATTGGCAGGAAGTAGCTCGTGTCCACCTCATTTTCAGGTTGTAAGCGCCGGTTATGAACATGAAATAAAAGATTTATGAAATTATGATTTCATGAAATGCTAATTGATTCCCAACTCGGGGCGTCTGCTGCTTCAATTCCCTTTGATTTATTCCAACTGATTTCTAAGAGAAAACACATCAGACAGTCATGAAAACTGCCCCTCACTAAGCCCAAGGTGATGACTTCAATAACAGTGACACGTTTGAGCAGCTAGAACTAGTGAATGCTGGGAATTTTGTGCTTGACAAATGACTTAAATGGTAAATCATTTATGAATTGTTGATTTTCTGCCAGTCGATTGATTAATTGTCTCGACGCTAAAAAGAATCGATGTGTAGTTTTTTGGTCTTTTTTAAAGGAAAGAAAGCTCATCTTCTACCCGCTCTCAGGGGCAACCTTTCAAGAGCTGGATAAATGTTTGATCACTGTACCAAAGTATTTTAAGAGCCGTCTCGTCCTCCTCACAAAGGTAATCATGATATGGAGTCTTGGAATCGGCGTGAGGCATAATGGAGCAGCAACCGGCGCAGCAGAGCTCAGTATGAGGTTGCTAAATTGACTTCCCGGGGGAGTTACATTCAAAACACTTTAGCACTTAATGCTGGCGTACAGCAGACTCTACCCCCACTGCTTCCTATCGGTCTCTCTCACTGGGTCTTGCTCTCCTCCTATGGCCTGTCAATGCGCTGTCATGACAACAAGTTCAGATTAGTGGATGGTTAGCAATAAGCCCTGTGAATGGGTGTTAATAATAACTGTAATTATTATGCTTTTGTGTTTTTTCTTTGCATCGATAATACCTGTTTTTACTGCAGTGTAGTGTTTTTGAGTTATTGTTTGGTTGCCATGTTTTACCGCCTTGTCATTAAGGTAGTCACAGTAATAGTAGTAGTAAAGTCCTATTCTTACACACGACTGTGTGGCATTGACGTCACAAGCAATGAGGGATGTAAACCAATGACTTTGATCATATATGAACACATTAAACAAGTTTTGCCAGGTGTCACAGCCTACGACTCGTCGGCTAGCAACAGCCGTGACCACGACACAACGATTGATTGACATTCATACAAACCAATCGGTGTTGAATCCAGACACATGGTGCACTGTTTATGTTTTTATACCAAGTTGGTAAATAATATGATTCTGAACTGATTCACAAATGCCAGAAAACAGATTTTTGTGCTACTGTTAGCAGCTAACAGTTTGCTAGCTGTAGCTTCATGTTTAAAGCACAGATATGAGAGTAGAAAAGTAAATAAGTTGTTGTTATTTCATATATTTGGTGAGCAGCTAAACTTAAACATGCAGTGTGTGTGTGTGTGTGTGTATATATATATAAGAACTGCTGTTGTTGGGCCTCGTCACTTCCATTAATATGGATTCAGATATTGTTGTGACATCTCCCATCAGTGAACTTGAACCTCTCTCCAGACGGAGCAATCAGGAGACTGTGTGGTCTGTTGTTGTCCACGCTGAATTACTGTCCACTAACCACAAATTAACACTGATATTACTCAATATGTCTACACCACCACAGTTAGAAACTCTGATCTCCTGCCCTGATATTCTGTTGGAAGTGTAACATATTCAGCAGAGGACTTCCACGGAGTGCTAATGTAATTCAAAGTGACACGACAGCATGAAACGAAACAGCCGTCTTTCAATTCGCTCCGAGGGGGGAAGTTAGGTCGCAGGATTTCGTGAGGATATCAGTTATTCTGGGAGGATTATGAAACCGATGGACCCACCTCTCCGGAGGAAAAAAAAAAAAGAAAAGGTGCAAACAGGAAGAAGGGAACGAGGGGGGGGGGGGGGGGGGGAAAAAAAAAAAGAGAAAAAAGGGGGAGGGGGGGGGGGGGGGGGGGGGGGGTCGAGGAAAAAGAATTAATATGATGATTAAGTGATTCTGGTAGAAGCTGGTAGTGAGTTAGAGGACTACTAAAAAGGTAGCGCAGGGTGAAGGAAGAATAAACAAGTGTGTGGAAACTTGAAATGAGACAACAACAACAAAAAAGCCGAGAGGATAGAGAGTGAGACAAAGAGCGTGGGGCGGGGGGGGGGGTAGTGGAGCAAATAAAGAATGGATCAAGCACCAACTGGAGTGGAGAAGCAGGAGTGATTGAGAGGAACAGAGGGAGGAAGGTGTGGGAAAAGCAGCGCATGATGATGGATTCTACTGGACCGTGAGATTGATTGACTCTGTTCAGAAAGAAGAGGGAACAATAGTGGATGGGGTACGGTGGTGTGGTGGTGGTGTGGTGGTGGGGAGGGGAGGGGAGGGGAGGGAGGAGTGAGAGAAAAGTCCTGATGAAAAGAACCATGGCGCCCCGCAAGACACGACAAAAACTGGAGTCTGATAAAAGTGAGGCGGTTTTTTATCTCAGCGCTTCCATCTTAAAACACACAGCACAAGCAGCAGCATCTTTGCANTGGGGGGGGTAGTGAGACATATAAAGATGGATCAAGCACCCACTGGAGTGGAGAAGCAGAGAGTGATTGAGAGGACGGAGAGGGAGGAGGTGTGGAAAAGCAGCCATGATGAGATGGATTCTACTGGACCGTGAGATTGATGACTCTGCTTCAGAAAGANACATTTCAGTATCTCTAATAGGATCTATAGCACTCTTTTTCTTTTTTTTTTTTGTTCATCATCAGTTATGCATGGTGGGAAAAAAATAAAAAAGAAAAGTGTATCTCCCCAGAATAAGAGCAGAGCTGCTGTTACATCAAAAGAGATTATGTCTGTAGCAAAGAAAAGTCTGTTTGAAAAGAAGGATTAGATTTATTTTGGCTTTCAAACACCCCCCAAAAAAAAAAAACCCCAGTGAATTAGTTATCCATCACCGGCTTTGAATTCAAAACGACATTTAAATAGAGGAAGCACACGGCGCCAGGACGTAACAAATGCACAGGTTTTTTTTTGTTTTTTTTTTTAACCGTGCTCCATATTTAGAGCTTAAATTCCTCCTCTTATGGTCTGTCGGTGCGACCAATTAGAGCGGCGCTTCTCAAAGTTGCACCGGCGTTCCACGGCGGCGCTCGTCCAGCCTAACGAAGGAGAAGCTCATTACTGAGGAGAATCTGTAAAAATCCACAAGCTCGGTTTGACAAGGAGGTATAGAAGGGAGGGGGAGGGGGGAGTAAGACCGGGAGAATGAGAGGAAGTGGATATTAATCTTTTCCCATGAGAACGTTTTAGTTTCACCTTCTCCGACTTGATCCCTCTCCCCCTCTCTCACCTCCTCCTCCCCCCCTGCTCCTCCTCCTCCTCCCCTCAGCCTGGAGGAGAGGCTGTGATTCGCCAGCCTGCGTCTGGTCCGGGGGGGGGGGGGGGGGGGGGGGGGGTAAGACGGAGATAAACAGCGTTTGCAAATAGAAAGTGGTGGAAGCGACGGCAGAGCAGGCGCCATCAATGGGGAGAGTTTCCCGGGTTATTCACTTTCCTCAGACCAAGAGCTCTTATCAGAGGCAGTGATGGAGTGATGTGGGCGCTGGCTGTGGCACAGCGCCACCTGCCTCGCCAGTGGACTGATGGCGTGCGCCGGGATCAACGGGGAATAAAAGATAATCCTATAAATGCCTTTTTCATTGGAGTATTCTGTTAGTTTTACCTGCTTCTCTTTCTGCGGCGGTGCTGTGATGTGTTTATGATTCATGTGGCCTCTGACCGTCTGTTCTCTCATCTTTTTTTTTTAGATGCTGTCACAGAGCGCTGAGAGCGTTCCTGCGAGCGGCGATGGGACCCGGTGAGGTCGCGGACATGATAAGAAATCTCCACGGAGCTCCGTTTCAATCACAACGGCAACACTAGACGGTGGAGACGTCCATTATCTGAAATTAATGTCAGCTGTGTTGCGGAGGCAGCCTCAAGCTGCGCCGCCAGATCTGAGACACCCCATGGAGGCGTGGCCTCGACAGGTCCCACACTGCTGCCACTGGTAACACCAGCCCGATGAACAGAGATGCCTTCTAAGGTCTCCTGCTTGTACCTGCTGACAGTGGTTTGTTGGGCCAGCGCTCTGTGGTACCTGAGTGTGTCCCGCCCCTCCACCTCCTACGTGGGTCAGCTGACTATCCCAATACGCAGGACGCCCAAGGTGAACAAGAATGCCACCTTCAGCAACATCCGCACGCGCTCGCTCAACCCGCACGACTTTGGCTACATCATCAACGAGGCCAAGAAGTGCGAGGCGGAGCCGCCCTTCCTCGTCATCCTGATCAGCACCACCCACAAGGAGTTTGACGCCCGTCAGGCCATCAGAGAGACATGGGGCGACGAGAGCACGTTTCCAGACGTGCGCGTGGTCACGCTCTTCCTGTTGGGCCGCAGCACGGATAACGTTCTCAACCAGATGGTGGAGCAGGAGAGTCAGATCTTTCACGACATCGTAGTGGAGGATTTCATCGACTCGTACCACAACCTGACGCTGAAGACGCTGATGGGGATGCGTTGGGTCGCCACCTTCTGCCCCAAGGCGCAGTACGTCCTCAAGACGGACAGTGACATCTTTGTCAACATGGAGAACCTCATCTACAACCTGCTGAAGCCCACCACCAAGCCCAGGAGGAGGTACTTCACCGGCTACGTCATCAACGGCGGGCCAATCAGGGACATGCGCAGCAAGTGGTACATGCCCAGGGATCTGTACCCGGAGAGCAAGTACCCGCCCTTCTGCTCCGGCACCGGCTACATCTTCTCAGCCGACGTGGCCGAGCTCATATACAAGACGTCGCTACACACCAGGCTGCTGCACCTGGAGGACGTGTACGTGGGCGTGTGCCTCCGGAAGCTCGGCATTCACCCGTTCCAGAACAGCGGCTTCAACCACTGGAAGATGGCCTACAGCCTTTGCCGCTACCGGCGGGTGGTCACCGTCCACCAGATCTCCCCCGAGGAGATGCACCGCATCTGGAACGACATGACCAGCAAGAAACACCTGAAGTGTTAGCAGGGCCGGGGGGGGAGAGCCGGGGAGGAATCGAACGCCCCTCTCATCAACTGCTTCTCCGTCATTGGCGTCGGCAGATACTGTACAGCACGTAGCGCCGAGCCAAAGGAACCGTATTGACAAAGTGTCCGGGCTTCGTCCTGCTGCTCACTGCTGTGCCAGGAGTCTCTGTAGTGCAAGGCCAAAGCAAACTTCTCTGTACTGCTCTGTCCTCTCGGTCTCACTTCAAGGGGTTTTTCAGCGCTGCTTCCTGCGGCACCGTCGTTTTTATAGGGAATGATGAGACAGGAAGTGCAGACGCCTGTGTTTTAGCTTCTCATTTATACAAGACACAAACTGTTACGAAACAACCGGATCACACAAACGTCAACACACTGAACACAGACGTTGGCCTCTGGAGTTGAGCTCTAACTCTGAATGTTGCTCATGTATTTTCAGTTGTTGTACTTTCTGAACAAGGTGTTACTGTTGGATGTATTGTCTGTGACTGCAGCAGCTGGGACCGCGGCGAGCTCTGGATTATCACCGAGCGGACCTGCCTGATTCCTTTCAAGACGTATTTTTCTTACAACAGATCTGCAGATCTTTGTGAAGGTTTCCTCTAGACGGCGTGGAGACGTCGGCTGCTTCGCGTTCCCGAGTGAATGTTACTTCTGTTGATGTGTACCGTGCGGTTGTTTGTCTCAGGCAGCGCTGTGAGCTGGGCTGCAGAACATTATATTTTCTATTACTTGAACAAAAAGGAGAGCAGATGTAATGTAAGAGCAGTGGAAGACGAATATTACTCTTTTGAGCGCTTTCTTCTTTTCAATTACTTGAGATTAAATAAACTGCTTTTATAAGACTTGATATCGTATTTATTCCATAAAACAATATAAAAAGTTCTTATCCCACCTGGTTTATAACGAACGCCCTCACAGGATTACACCCTGAAGGGTTTCGTCATGTTGTAAAACATGAGCTGCGGAAACGACAGCGTTTCATTAGCCACCGCGGCTCAGAGCAGCAGCTGTGCTCAGTTTGAAGTCCCACATCTCAACACGTCACTGACGGGCGAGAGCCGCTGAAATCTCAGTGCGGAGCTGGAAACATGTTCTTTTCCACGCAGGTGTTGGTGCCAGTGCGTTAAGCGGCGAGCAGAACCCAACGTGTGATTGCATCAACCGTAGCATCTGAGTGACTGGCAGCTGAGAGGCTGTGTTCAGCCGTACGGTCTGAACAGGAGGAGTAAATGGATTTTTATGTCAAAATAAAATGCATAAATTTCTTCATTTTCAGCCTCCCGTGTACTGTAGGTGTCACCACATCATTTATTGTTTCACTCACTGGAAAGTTAAATTCCATTTTTAAGGGCATCAAAATGAAAACAGGCTGTTTTGCTCTTTTTATCTTGAAAAGCAAAAAATAAGAATAATTTCAGAGTCAAAGAAGAATTTTAAAGTAATTTGGAATTAGCAATTACATAAAATGTATCATGACACCTGTTTATATAACTCACCTGGACTAAAGTTATGGAGAATTGGATTAAGCTCTTTGAATTAGCTGGGAGTTAGGGGCAGAGTAAGACACTGCCAAGATGGCGACGGTGCAGCAGCTCACTCTGAGCTTCAGAACCGCTCTTCAGAAACCAAGGAACTCAAGTTAGTTTGACAATTACAATAAAGTTTATTCAAACAAGACAAACAGTTCAGAAAAAAGAAAGAAACTTTTCTGCAGTTCTACCATGAATATAAAGTCAGTTTTAATTTGTAGTTTTATGATGTTTTGTTTTTGACTTCATCACTAAATTATCACCTGTACAACCGACCAACCCTGTTGTATCTCTTACGGCCTCGTCACCAAAGCCCCAACATCTTGTTGGGAACGAGATGAATAATGTCCTAAATGTTTCCGTGTCAAACCTCACGCAAAGAAAAGCCGGAGTTCACAGTTGATGCCATTACACTGCTCAGCCTACTGCAGCGCACACACACTGGTGAGTCTAATCGTGTCTGTACGCAGGAGATACAGCCGGAGGCCGTGTGTGTGTGTGTGTGTGTGTGTGTGTGTGTGTGATCACTGCTGAGCCTGTTAGTGAAGGTCATTATCTGTTATTAACACTAAGAATTCTCTGAAATCATTAAAATGTCTGATTGTGTTCAATTGTTCCCTGCGAGGTACGCGCTCTCGCCGGCATGCGAGCACAAGGAAACATTACTGTAATTAGGTTGCCCCAGCCTCTGATGCCTACAGGTGTGTGTGTGTGTGTGAACTCTTTGTTCCCAGCATCATCATCACCATCATCATCATCATCATCATCCGGGGGAGCCGCACCACTCCTGCGGGATTTGGTGCCAGAGAAATGAAAAATGTCTTCTGTTCTGCACTTGCAAAGATAAACAGAAAGAAAAAAAAAGAAGAAGAAGCGGGAAGCACTCGTGGCGCAGCTCTTTCCTCAAACACTTTCACTCCAAAATCTTGTGGGAGCTCGTAGGCAGAAAACACACCAGCGCTGTTATGATTTCTTCATAATAAAAACTATTCCCGGGCGGCATCTTTACTTCAAATACTTCTTCTTGATCAGTTTCTGGAACAGTCCTTTTTTTTTTCTTTTCTTTTTGCAACCAAAATATAATTGAAACAGTTTTACTCCAGTTTGTTCTGGAAAAGAAAAGAATTCAACCCCTACTAGCCACAGTATGTTATCAGTTAATGACTTTATTTTTTCCAAAATAAAGTGCACAAGAATATTCTGCCTGGTGTACATGTGAAATAATTGTTATTCACAGCTTCTTATCTTCTGCGCTGCGTTTTGCATTCCTCTGATCACCCCCTATGGCATATGCAATTGGATACAATATGCTGAGTAATAGAAAGTCTGCTCCGTAATTGGCCAAACAACGCAGTGGTAGAGCATTTAAAAGGCTAAAGCTTGGGGAAAATGAAAAGCGAGTGATTATTCCGGGGCTTGTGGTAAATGAACCTCATAACGAGCGAGGCGGAGGGCTAGGCAATTGGGAACACTCAGATTTCAAAACAAAGCTTTGGAAGGCAGGCCTGTGGAGCGCAGAGTGGAAACACAACGCTGGTAGGACACGGAGGAGACCTTGATTTGGCGTTGGAGTCTAGTAAGACGCTGTAAAAAGACTGGAGGCAAATTTGTTAATGCTGCATAACCCACTGCAGAAAAAACGAGCATTTTTTTTAATCTTCTTTTACATATTCATATTCTTCTGCTTATTCTTTTGCCCTAAATACTTTCTCCTCAGCCTCTCAGTTAGCGTGACCTCCTCCTGACCTGTCCTTTGAGGCGCAGAGGATGCATATTTACCAGAAAATAGCCACGGAATAAATTGGCGGTGTGCAATCTGCCATCTGTGCGGGCGCAGTTAGACCAAGGTGAGAGGAGGAGGACTCGGCGAGAGCAGCTGGGGAGGCGAGGTAACCGTCCTCTTCCTCCTCCAGGTGAAGCACCGTCGGAGTTGATGCTGCGATGCATTAGGACGCCGCAGCTTCCCTGAAATGATAATGACGAGCTGATGTGCTGGTGGCTCGGTTCTGAAGGCAGCCTGAGGTGTTGATGTTCTGTCACTTGATTACTGGCTGCGATGTTTGGATGTGCAGTTCTGTGAATATATTTATATTCTTTATATCTACAGTGTGTGTTTCTATGGATTTTTCAGGTTCGGTTCTTCAGTACGTTGGTCTGAGGTGAGCTCTGCATTCGAGGCTCAGGTGTAAACAGTTGGAGACACTTGATTGGCCGAGGGTCATGTGACAGTAAACATTATGATAGCCTATTATAATAATAATTACAGTATATTATTGATAGGGTTTAGTTTTGTGTGGGGCTTCCTATGTATCATTTCATTAGCTGCAGAAAAGAAAAACCCCTCAAACTTGTTCCCCTGCCTGTTGATGACTGTTTATACATTCACAGCATTACTCAGCAGGAAGTCAAATTTACTTCCTGCTCACTAAGACTCAAAGGTCCAGACCTGATGCAGTTCAGTGATCAGAAGCACAGAAGCTTATTAATCTTCGTCCTGTCTGCCACGTTGTAAACATTTGATAAATATACATCAGAAAAGTGCATTTCTGACACCAGCTGCCTCTGAAACAAATTTATTTTGAAGTGACTTCTCTGCAAAACAAATCAGTGGCAGCAGAGCAAGAATAAGCTCCAGACCTCAGCTTCCTGTTGCTCTGTCATTGGTGTTTCATAGGCAATCATGATCAGTCCACGTGTCCAGCCCAGGATTTTAACCTCTCAGATATTTAAAACGAAACCTAAATATTAATATCTGGTATTAATATTGATATCTGCCAGGTTATACTGTCCTTGTCGATGACAGCATTTCAGCAGCATGAATTATATCCCGTCATCCATAGCAGATAGATGGGATTTAAATGGGACGCATACATCAGGAACGTGTGGCAGGGGCACCACAAGCGCTTGACAAAGATAAGTGTGACAGCCAGGCTGAATTTGAAATTGCGCGAGCAATAAATTAACCCTTAATGCCCTGGGACGGATCTCTTGGAAATGATGGAGGCTCAGGAGCTCGAACCTCACCTTCTTCTGAAAATCAGCAGGATCATATTTATGACCAGCTGCAAGAAGAGGAGGAATATTTGCATGTTTGCATGAGAGTGGAGTCTCATAAATAGCTGGTCGGCTGGTGAATATCGAGATCATTGGATTCAGAGAGCAGGTTGACGAGCAAGATATTCATAACAGGCTTGCTGGGTATTTGATGTAGGTATTTTCTATAATTTAGCATACCTGTGGAACGCATGCAACTCGTGTTTATGTGTCCTGAAGGCAATGCATTGTGCAGAGGATCTGTGAGTTAGTCTGTTTGATGTGCCGCACAGCATTTGAAGATGCTTGTGCTCCTTTCCTCCGCCTGCATCCAGGCACGTTACAGCGCAGTGCAGTGCAGTGGTTACTGACCTTTTTTTGTTTGAGGCTCTCTCACGTCTCCTTCAGATGAGCTCCTCTTCATCTGTGTCACCTGACATGTACCATTTATCCATCACTTTCAGTCATGTCAGTGGTTTATCCATAACTTTTAGCTGCCGACTTCAACTACCAATTTTAGCCATGTAGCATTAACCCTTTACCTTTAGCTCATTATGTCAACTGTCTCCCACTTCTTAGCTGCATTTAGCATTTATCCATTACATTTAGCTAATAATTTTAGCTGTTACTTTTATACTTTTAACTGTTTAACCATATAATTTTGACTAATAATTTCTAACTATTTTAACTTATTTGCTAGCTTGCTAACTGGCTTCCATGCAGATTTGGGTAAACATGGCCTGAAGGTGTTTGTGGAGCTTCCTGTTGCTGGAGGGACTGAGCAGTTAGCGTTCAGGAGCTGGCAGCTGAGTTGTTATTGTGCCAATAAATGTTCTGATTTACACTAATTCATAATCCTGATTGGATGTGTATTTTCCCTCTAAACACAAATATATGTTTATGTTTTCTATCTTTCCACATACCCCTTATGTACAAGAAGCCCAAGTAGCGAACACTATTCTCAAATTGTCTTTATGAATCATGTATGCTAACAGATGGGTGGTGGTACAACTACAGGCCTTGTGCTCATTACACGGAGGCTTGGAAACAGAAAACAGACTTGTGATTTTACAATCTCTGCATCAACAAGCACACACACTTAAATAAACATGAGCTACAAAACTTCCTTAAATATACAAAAGTAGTAATTGCAATCCTTTCATATAAATTCCCAAACTCTTCAGATACAGAATGGCCACT